GCTGCGCCTGCCACGAAATCTGCACATCCAGCGCCGGTGCCCAGCCGACGCCAGGGCGTACATCCGACCCCTTGGCAAGCAGCAAAGTGCTGTGCCTGCCACGAGATCTGCACACGGAGGTTCACAAAGTACTGCGCCTGCCACGAAATCTGCACATGAAGGTTCACAAAGTGCTGCGCCTGCCACGAAATCTGCACATCCAGCGCCGGTGCCCAGCCGACGCCAGGGCGTACATCCGACCCCTTGGCAAGCAGCAAAGTGCTGTGCCTGCCACGAGATGTGCTGCGCCTGTGAGTGATGTTGTGTGTGTGTGTGCTGTTGTGTGTGAGATGTTGTTGTGAGAGATGTTGTGTGTGTGCTGTGGTGTGTGAGATGTTGTGTGTGGGATGTTCTCTGAGTGATGTTTTGTCATCCGACCCCTTGGCATCCGATGTTGTGTGAGTGATGTTGTGTGTTGTGTGTGAGATGTTGTTGTGAGAGATGTTGTGTGAGTGATGTTGTATGCAAGACGTTGTGTGTGGGATGTTGTCTGAGTGATGTTGTTGAGAGAGGTTGTAGTTAGAGAGGAGGAAGGAGGAAGGAGGGAGGAGGACGGAGGAGGACGAGCGAGGAGGTGCAGCAAAAAAAACAAGAACCCCACACAACAATGTGGGGAAAAAGAAGCAAAGCCCGGTCGCAAGATAAAGCCAACCGAGGCTTGGGCAACGTCTGTACACTTCGCTCGTGCCTGTGGACAAGGTTTCGCCACCGCCGGAGGGCCCCTTGTTGGGCCGCCCACCGCGATTTCGCCTCCTTGAACGTGCACCACCAGAGACCAAAGAAGAGGTGGAGGGTGCCACTTCGCCTTGCGAACAAGGCGGCACGGCCTCCGACTCCAAGCGCTTGGTCACTGTGGATATCTGGCTCTGGAGCACGGCTTGCTGGTGTGCTGCAAAATCTGCAGGCGTCTTGTTCTCCCGGAGTGGATCTTGCGGAGGAGTAATCGGTTCCTCCGTCACCTGCAACGGCGGCGTTGCTCGCTGCGCCTGAAGCAGATGCGCTCCCACAAGACCCAAATCCTGGATCGCACGACCCCGCTGCGCTGCCTGCGTCACTTCGTCCACCTGCCGAGCCTGAAGGCGGGGCCACAACTCCAGTATCCTGCGGTTCACCACTTGGATGTCTTCAGCACCCGAAGAGGAGCCCGGCATGCCCATGGAGCTCTTTTGCTGCACCAGCCCCATAAGCTCGGCCCATGATCCAGGCGAAATCTGGGTCCCCTCGCTCAACGCACTGGACTGGAGCACGTTTGCTCTTGAGCCAGCCGGAGCCTGGGAACTCACTGGTGTCGCCTCCATCACCTTGCTCTTCCCAGCGCTGTGCCAGGACTCGGACTGCCCTTCGGTCAGTGCCGTCGAAAGTGATATGATCGTTCGATCTGGAGACGACTGACTGAGCCCACTCTGCTTGATCCCACCCTGGGGGGGCTCTGGCCCAGGGGGGCAGCGAAAAACTGCCTTTGAGGACGAGCTTGAGGAAGCCGCAGGTTTCTCACACGAGCGCCGCCAAGCGGCACCGTGTGTGTGTCAAGCCCTGTCTCGAAGGGTTTTTTTTGCAAGTGGTGCCGCAGGGGGCAGCAGGGAATCCACAGTTCTGCTGCCAACGAAGACAGCTGTGGCCATTCCGTGAAGCAGATTGGGACGCCAATCTGTGTACCTGCTGAGTTCTTCATAAGCTGTGACCCCACTTTCCGCGTTTTGTTTCATGGTCTTTCATGATACTTTCCCCCCAAACACTCTACCACTCTCAGCCACTGAGCCGCCGTGAGATGCCGTCGTGAGTTCTGCAGAGACGCATAAACCACTTGTTAAAACATCTTCAACTGCTCCGACCTTTTCACCTTTCGGTTCCATCACCATTTTCCTGGAAATTGAGTTAACTGAAAACCAATGTCGAAGTGTGTGTTAGACGCCGGACGACATAGGTAGGCCGGCTTGTTTGCTTCTGGTGCTTTTGGGATGGTTGAAGGCTTTCCGCCGGGATCATTTGAGCTGAGTTGTGCCGGGATCATGGCTGCTCTTGAGATGGCTATCCTGCAAAAAAGAACAACTCTGACGAACACATCACATGGAAGTGGAAACTTCATGGCTCCTGGGCCCCCCTTGGCCCCTTGGAAGTCTCCGAACTTCCTCTACAACATACAGGGGGGGTCCCACTTGAATGGAACGTGAGTCGGAGTGAACTTCCCCACGTGGCTTCTCACCCAACCGTCAGGCCAGCTAGAGGCGAGAAATCAAAACGAATCCAGTGCCAAAGGTGGCCTCTCAAAAGCAAAACCACGACAGCTGCAAATGTTACATGCACCGCGGAAATGCCCAAACTGGCGTGGAGGTCGCCAAAAGTCAAGAAGCCTTGAATTTCTCATGGCTTTTTTCGCGCTTCTGCACCAAAAAAATGTCGGCTTCTACCGGAGGAGGCGCCCCGCCCTCGGCCTGCCCTCGCCCCCATCGCCGGCCTCGAGGCCAGTTGGCATTGTGCCGCCCCGCGGGTGAAGGTGGAAAGTCATCGAAGCACTCCCTGAGTGGCCGGCTGCGGTCCCGGTCCCAGTGACTGCAGGGGCTAGCGGTCCCGGCAGTCAGAGTTCACACAGCACCTTCGAAAAAGGAAAGAGTTCCAAATAGATTTCACACGACAGGGAGTGAAGAAGGCCAATTTCTTGGTGGGCTTTGGCTTTCCCTTCGCCCGCAAAAGTTCGGTGGCCTGTGCTTGGCGCCGGGTGTTTGCAGTCCCAATCGTGCCACGAACTCGCGCTTTGTAGGATGCAGGTCTCACCCTTTGATTGGCCCAGTAAATGGTCGTGCCACAAGAAGGTCGCTCCATGCTTCGGGTCTAGACACCTAGACTCAACACCCTGCTTGGCTGAGAGGGCACTCTTGGAAACTGACGAGCAACTCTTCCCAAAGCAGCCCGACACAACTTTCAAGCCACTTCCAGGCCCCCGGATGCATGAAAAGGATGCTTGCAGTTGAATGCACTGGTTAAGATGACAATGGAAACTATGCTGATGGATCCGGCTCGTGCAACTCGTGCAACACAAGGAAGTCACATGGTTTGGAGGGTGGTTGGTCTTGTCATGTCTTGTCAAATCATCCATCATAAGACCGTTTTCTCCAAGTCTGCATCAAGCCTACCGATGAATCTGCGAAAACCCGCATGACCATCGGCTTGACGACCGTCTTGACGATCGTCTTGATTTGGGTCAAATCCAGATGACCCGCAGGCGCTTGCTACACACTGCACACATTTGGGATAATGATCAAGTGATGAACCTCGCAAGAAAAACGCTACTGACCCCCTAAGTTTCCTGGAAAGGTTCACGTTCAGTGGGGAAGCCAATCCAAAAAAGACGGTGTTTGCAGGTTATCCACTTTAAATGGGTAGGACTAACCCTCCGTCCAACAACGATGGAACTGACGAGATCTGGCGCGCCCAGTCTGGAGAACTCTCTTCCGTCCGTGATCGCACGTCTGCACCTTTATGTTTGGAGGCAGGGTTGGGTGTGGGTCAAGACCCAACCCCAAACCTCAACCAGGGTTTCTAAGTTTTGACCCGCACCCATATGGGTTTAGGGTTTAGATAGAGAGCCCCCTGGCCCCTAGCCGATGGGTTTGGTATGGTTTCCAGGTTCCTTCCAGCGGATCGAACCGGAGGGTCTCCCTGTTCTAGACAAACACACCCCCCATATCAAAATTGCCTGTGGGAGGTCTAGATCACATCTACCCAGATAGATAGATAGATAGATAGGTAGGTAGATAGATAGACAGATAGATCGATAGATATACAGATACAAATATAGATACAGATATAGATACAGATAGAATCAGATAGACAGAGATAGACAGAGAGGGACAGAGACAGACACAGATGGATGTGTGCATATATATATATAACTATATAATATCAAAGCCTTTACCCAAGCTCTCCACGCACTCCAAGCCCCTGACGCATCCACGCTCTCGAAGTCCTGGCGAGGCTGGTGGCCCCCTCTTCGGCACCCGACTGGCCCCGGTCTTTTCGGCACCGACGTCGTCTCCCACGAGAGTTTCACGAGACTTGACGGACAGGTGTTTTGGAATGCCACTCACTCCCAAGCCACGCGTGAACGGTCTAAATGATCTAAATATGTTGGGTTTGGTCCCAGAAACCACGGATCTTGGGGGATGAATTAGGTCTTCATAAACATGGTAGTGATCGACTTCAGGGCACCACCTTCCTTTTTTCACCACACACCTACACCAAAACCGGCCTTTTCCTCACACCCGTCCGCCCCCGCGTTCCCAGGTCCCCCGCCGGCCCCCCGGACCCGGAGTTGGCCGCCTGTCCGGTTCGGAGGTCCAGGTAGGTCTTAATCTGCAAGTGATCCCGCAGCACGGTCAAATCGCCGGCCGTGGCCGTCACCCAATGGCCTTCACGTTGGAAGAGTGGGAGGTAGGGAGGTGGGGGGGGCGGGGGGGCCGGTGCAAGGGCATTTTGGGGGGGTGGTCTGCGAGTTTTGGAAGATCTGGGTGGGAAAAAAAGAGGAAGACGGGTCAGCTGTTTGGTGGAACATCCTAGGAATCCTGGTCTTGTGGGCTGCATCATGCTATTTGGGTCGCACGTCTGCTGGTCCATTCGTGCTCTCACCCTGTGGAAAACGTGTGGCCTTGCGTTGGATTCCGGGCCGAAAGTCAACCCAGCCCCAGATCCAAACCAAAAGCCCCGCAGAAAGATGTAACCCCCTTGATCCACCCTGGCAGTCTTCACAGGTTACTAGGCAAGAGCATGCAGATTGACGGACTTGCCGCATCAACCAGCATGAGTAAGCAAGTCATCTGGATGAATCATGTACTCCGCCAAAACAAACATCCTACGAATCTTCCTGCCAGCTTCCTGCCATGCTAGTTTTTCGTGGCAGTTCCTATGCAAGAAGGCCATACGGCCAAAAAAAAACAACCAAACGAAACCAAACCAATTCTGCCAGAACCGATGTGACGCCACAAAGCACCGGATCCGCAGCGAGCCTGTACGGTACAGGAGGCCTTGCTTGATGCAGCCTCCCTGACCGAGGCTTGGCTTGGCGATGATCCGGTGCTTTGTGGCGGGGGGGGGGCCGTGGGCCAGAGCGGAGCAATGGCCCTGAGCCGTTGGGCTTGAGAAGCTCGGCTATCCGGTCCGTGAGGAGAGTCTGGCGCTGCCTACAGTGACCCTGAAGTGGATCCAATCTCAGAGCTGGGTGCCCTGAACTGGACAGGGTCATCACACTTTCGTAGAGAATGAGAAATCAAAGAACGGCTAATTAAGTATCTTGTCATCCGACTGAAGCATGTATGAACTCCGATATTGAAGCCAAAACTGCAACTTAAGCCCATGAACACCTCTTCAAATCGTTGCCCTGTGGAAATTGTCGCAAAATCGACCGAATAGATTCGTCCGTGTTCTTAAAAACCTCGAAGGAAGTACATTGGTCGTGACGGATCACGGATCATCTCACATGTGTAGATATCACCTGTTCACCCGAGGAAGAACCAGGACCTTTCTTTGATGTTCGATGCAAAGCTCCCCGCTGAACGGTGCGTTTCAGTGCGTTTCACAGCCAACTTGGCTTATGTGAGGCTACAGAGGCATGTCTCTTTGAAAGCCCAATGAAGGACACGCGCCTTGCAACGATAGGGCGATAGCGGGTCCTCAAAAAAGCGGCCAAAGGGTGGGAACTGCTTCGTGTGCCCCCATGAGCAGCTGCATCTCCAATAGTCTGAAAGAATGACCAAACATTCCAGCCAAAAAAAGAGTGCTTGACATGTCTGGCATGCCTCAAAAAGAGTGCTTCGTTGAACGAGCTTTCCTTCCTACTTTGCTTTCCTTCCTATTCGGTAGACCACATGCGTAGCCCACATTCTTTCCCCCACTTGCGCAGATCTGCTCAAAGGATATGTGCCAACTGATCCGCTCCCCCGCACATCCGGTTAGGTTGGGGATCCATCAAAGGTGCCATCATTCATATAGTGACAGTGACACCATTAGTGGATCAAAAAACAGACTACCAGCGAGGTCACTAGGGGTCCAGGGTTTGACTCATAGCCACATCAAGAACTGGCCCCACACTCTCCTGTGACCAGCCAATAGGCGTACCGGCCTAACCGGCAGCATCGGTGTACCCAGCCGACTCTGCAGCAGATTCCCTGGACAGATACATCGCCAGAACGAAACCTGCAGATTGACTCCTCAAAAAGAAACCTCATTTGCAGCTGATTCATCTCAAAATGACTCAAACCATCTTATTGGGCTTGTCATTCCCCAACCTCGCACCTTAAACTTCTGGGTGAAAAAAAGAACCGCGCCACGTGTCTTCCCCTGAAAGTCACTCGACCAGCGTGCGGAAAACCAACTCCGCCAAGGAGCAGGGCCGGCGGCGTCCCGGAAATTGGCCACCTGCCGTTGGTTCCGCCAAGGTGGGTTCGCGCGGGGCTCCCGGGTTTCACCCAGTCCCAAACCAGAAAGAGTCTTGATTCTTCGTCCATGGATATCAATACCTAGAGCCCAGACATGACCTCTGTTTTGATAGGAAAAGACCTTATTTTGGGTGGTTGGTGATCCAAAATGGAGGTCATTCAAGTTCTATAGATGTATACTGGGTCAAACACGACCCTGGACCCGTTCAGTGATCGACCCCCGAATCCTCTGTAAGGGATCAAACATGGTCAAACCCACTGGTTTTGAGGCGTTTGGGGTGGGCCAGATTGGATCTCCCAAAAAGGATAGTAAGAGTAGTACACTGAACAACCCACCCACACAATTGCTAAATCCCCGACTTAACTTTGGTTCAACTGGAGAGGGTGCTGATCGCAGGCTGGAGGATGGGACAGCTGATGGGGATGAAATCCAGTGGGGATGAAATCCAGGCCGCCATCATCGGGCCATGTCAAGTCCCCTCAACCAACAGAATTGTGATGAGGCCCCCACAAAATCCATGCGACTGGGTAACTAGTCACTAGTCTGTTCTAGTCTGTTCATCTTTGAACCCTGGTCTTTGGCACTGCTCCATTTCTATGCGTATCCTTTTTCACAGCACCAAAGATGGTGTGCACCTCCCAAGAATCTCACCTTCCGACCCTCCCCAAATCCAGATCTTCGCCCCCCCAAGAACAGAAACCGCAGCGGTTCCTGCCATCCTCCCCCTTCAACCCTGCATCCTCGGGTTGAGCAGCCCCGGACCCGGTCCAAACTCCAGAGGCTTAACCATCCCGGAGGCCGAAGCTCCTGCGCACGTGCGTCCACCGGGCGAACCCCACCCGACGCGACGACCCGCGACGATCCGAATCCGAGCGAAGCCGGTGGAACATCGACGCGACGCGATCCGAATCCGGTTCGGAAGAGAAGCCGGATGCATCAGCCTCGGCATGATCCATGATCCACCGATTTGGAACATTACACCTGCATAGACCCAGATAGCTAGGCAGAATCCCACAAGCTGTTGACATGCGACTGGCTGGAACAAGAATTAAGCACGGGACTTCATGGGGCAAAAAGAACGACTGACTGCAATGATCCATGGTCCAGATATTTCGCACTGGGAAAATAAAAAACATGGAAAAAGAATCAAGGGCATTTATCATGCATCTATGTCTCTGGCCAAGATCACCAAGATGGCTGGTATGAGCCAAAATGCTTTGAGCCTCTTGCCGCCCTCTCAAAACTCTTGACTCGGACCCTAAAGACCAGTTCGGGGCTAATCCCTTTCTTAAGCACCATTTCGGAATTGAGCCAAGAGTTTTGAGGGGGGTGCACCCTGTCTATGTCCATGTCCGAAACCGAACATGAAAGCCATGGAATCCACCCCGCTGATTGTCCCGTGGAATCCATTGGGTCCGAAAAGAGGATGTAAAGGGGATTTGGAATCCCAGAGCCTGATCAAGTAGAGGTCAATAGATCTTCACTGCAGGCAGTCAGGCAGGTGGAAGCAATAATTGACACTCACCGATTTAAACGATATAGGTTCGTAATGGTTTATGGTGTTTTGGGCGCATTTTCAATCCTGTCTCTTTCCAGTTTCTGAATACCACTAACACTAACCCTTACAACCAGCTGTGGCCCTGTGGCTGGGCTGAAGCAATTCTGTCGGCCTTGGGGGTGCAGAACTACTACGAGCCTTGTTCCCCTACTACGGAGCCTTGTTCCCCGCCGTGGCTGCGCAGGGCCCAGGCTGCGATGGCCAGAGAGGTCGCAGGGCTCCTTTTCGTGGTCGGTGCTGGCCGAGAGATTGGTCGCTTGCCGCTCGAAGAAGTTCTCCTTCTCGGCCTCTAGAGGGCTAGAGGGAGACCAGCTTCTGGGGGGGCCAAGCGGGGCATGTTTGTTCATGAGCCACACGCTTCTGAAGAAAGATCGTACGATCTTTATGCCCCAGATCCCGCATTTCTGGGAGAGAAAACCCAAATGACACACAACTGATTTCTGCTGCAGAAGCTTTCTAGTTTCTTGTTCAGAACCTTGTCTCGATCTTCTCGATATGCACGGAGACAAGCGCACATGCACTTCTTCTGATCCGGTCTCGGACATCGGAGCGATCCAATCAACCACCGAAGCCTTCGTTTCCCATGTTCGTGCGAATTGTTGAGAAACCGCCCATGAAGGCTAAGGCCTCCAACTGGTTTTAGGGTTCCTGAAGAGGAGACGCCAACATGAGAGTTTCTACCACATCTTGATACATCTAGTCTTTTTTGTTCTTGCTATTCTCTTGTGCCCCCACAACACAGAATCCCGAAACCCTCGGATCAGAGATTACAACAGTGAGATTGGGTCAGCCTTCATGGGACGAATGTATTACAACAGAGTCTTCGAAGCAGACAGCGGAGGTTCTTGTGCCGTCCCAGCCCCTCCGCCTGCAGTTCAGCGGGCACCTGAAGGAAGGACCGAGGTGTCGACGGGGGCAGGTGGGGTGTTTTGCTGAAAAAACCGGGACCCCGTTCATCCTCTAGGTCTGAGAGGTATCCAGGTGTACAAAGTTACCAGAGATAGCTGCCTCTCAATGGACCATCAAGGCACGGCACCAGGAGTTTCTTCCTCGTTCTGTTCAGCTTCCACATTTTCTCATAGCGCAGGTATAGAGTGTGGAGACATGACCCAACTGCTGTGCATGTCGAAGCTCTAGTTGGACTCGGACCAGTCCCAGGCCACAGCATCGTCTACGGGAGTTGCCTTCGAAGGCACAAGGGACCTTGGAGAGTAGATAGCATGATGTCCATAAAGCTGCCACTGTCGACTCCAGGCTTTCCGGATTTCCTCAGCTCTTACATGCTCGGTACCACCAATGGGTTCTTTGAGTCAACAGTGGGGAAAGGACTGTGTTTGCTGTTTGGTTTGTGGGGATGCACCTGCTATTCTTGTGGATGTCTTTCATCAGCTGCCAGCTTCATTCGTCTGGCGCTTCGGCGCATCTGCAGTTGTCACTTAAAGCACTTAAGGTAGGTGTCGTTTTTTACCAAATATGATTTCAGCTTCGTTCTGTGTGCTCCTTCCCACAAGTCCGAGACGTCCGTCCTTGACTTCTTCACCCGAGAGTCCAGGAGCCGCCCACATCGGGAGAAACAGCCGGGTCGACGCTCAGCGATACACCGATCCTTCTCGCCTCGTGCAGAAACATGGTCTCCGCAGCGAGGTGTGCCACGTGCGCTGCGCGTCGCGGGTGCGGCGCGGTCGGCGGATTCGGGGGGGGTTCGGCGGCTTCGAGCGGTCAAACCATGAAGGGGAGTGAAGACCAAACATGCGGCGGTCGGGGACGTTCGTGGTGTCGGCCGAAAGCACCAATTTGAAAAAGGAGAAAGTACAAAAGTCCAGGCCAAAAGAAAGAATCCCATTGTACAAGCTCTTCGTCTTGCATAAGCTGTCATAATGCAACGAAGAGGGTGTGCATCTTCCCCCGGTGGCGTCATAAACTTACACCGATCTGCAGCTTGTCTTGATCGACAATCCCTCTGTGGACTGCCCTCTAAGCACCTGTCTCTTCACTTGTTCCAAACTGCGAGGAAGGCAGGCAAGATCGTTTGTGATCATGTCTGATTGGTCATGAACTGGTGTCCGCTGAACAAGTGCTCAGTGCTCATTGAACCCGGCCAGATGGGACAGACTTCTTCATGAAGTTCTTATTGGTGACTCTTTGACCTCATTGTAAAGCTATGGCTATGACAGCATCAAAGACAGCTGGGGTAAAGGGGGCAACTGGCGAAAGTGAGGCCAACACAATCATGTCGCCTGAATGACACTCTAGAATTGAATAAAACTGCAAAGCCTGTCAACTTTCGTGAAGAGCACTTTCAATGGCTAAGCTGACTTGTGCTGAATGCCCGTCTAAAATTGCACATTTGGAACACTGATTTCAGTTAATGAAGTTTAGATCCATCTTTGGCACTATGAAAATAGAATACCAATCAGTGCCACATAGTGATGTATCCTTGTGATGCCTCATGTAGTGCAACAATGTCGTAGGCCAAGACCCAGTTCCAAGTGACTCAGGTCCTGATTTATGCTGGAGTCGAAAACAAACAGGGTCACGGCTAAACACTCTCGGGTAGCAAGTGTTTGATCAGCAAAAGAGTAACAGCTTCCAAGTATGTATGTCTGGTGCTTTCTGTCCAGCATTCACCAAGAATTTGTTGATGGCTCGTTGGCAACTCTGACTCACCAACCTGGCCACACCCCTCGTTTTGTGCTTCGCATGGACATCCTGTTCGCGTTCAAAGAGGAAGGCCCGCAAAAAGTGATTTCGCTGCTGCTATTGAGATTTGCTCTTTTCAAGGGTGTCAGCGTTCACCCATGTTCCATGCATGGATCATATTGTGGGGCCATTGGTAGAAAGTTCCGTGTTGACAATGACAATGATTGGCTTAATATCATCATATCTATTTGTCCAAGTGTGTGCCTTCCTGGTGCGCAACCCTCCTCCAGCACAGATTGAGCTGCGAGGAAAGGTCACGGATGAGACATAAGCTAATCCCTCTCTCCATCCACTCCTCACAGCCTGCTGCGCACGCCACAACATGTCAGTTCCCTCATGAAACACTAGGCATGGAGCTACCTTCGAACTTCTTCGCTCGTGCAACATGCGCGCTTCGCTCAAAAAGCCCTCAGATCGACCTCCGCAGATGCTCCATCACGCGGCTCAGTTCGACAAGTCAGCACGAAGCCACGGTCTTGGCAAGTCGAAACAAAGAAACGCCTTTCCCCAAAAAACAACACTTTGTATGGGGCCACCCACGGGCCCCGCAGGTTGCCGCGAGCTTCCCAGAAGCTTTCCGGAACCTGACTCATGAACGACCCCAGCTTTTCTGTCGGATGTTCGTCCACCACTACCAGGCCAACCCAAAAACCCGAGTCATCTCTGTCTGGAAAATGCCCCTGCCGTCAGTGGTCTCGTGGACTGGGACCATCGAACCCCTCCGCTTCAACGGACTGCTAAGGTCACTGGGACCATTCCGACGGGACCTCCATGAACGACTGGCTGTGACTCGAGGGACATCCGTGTTTTTCAAACGGCCGCTCTATAGGAGTGGAGGCATGTATAGGAGTGGTTCTGGATTTGCTTCATGGTTTGTATGACTGACTGGTGCTTAGTAGGGAATGAGGGAATGAATCCAAAGGAATCTCTATTGGGGCTCATTCCCTCATTCCCTACTAAGCACCAGTCAGATGAGGGAATGTTCTTCAGATGCTGATGTCAGCGGGGACTTCTTGGGTCTGAATGTTCTCTTCGCATGGTGGACTGGTCGAAAATTCGCTCGAGGTGGGGAGTGTCCAAAGCTAATCCCCATGGTTTGGTGGGTCTAGACCAAATTCCTTTCAACAAACACCTCCATCTGTATCTTGCCGAGATGGTCTGATGTTCAAGGGGAGTTTCGGATGGACATGAGAATGGCACGTATTTTCAATGACGTCAGCCATCGACACTCACAAGAAATCAGCCTCAAAAAACCCTGGTTTCAGGCCCTCGACACAGCGCTGCCTGCAATTAAACTCATGGATGTCCCTTGCTCAACGCACTCGGTTCTATGGGCCATTGCTTATAGGTCGCCAGCTGGTTGCTGATGGTTTTTGGACACGACTGAACCTGGTTCGCGTCCCACTCGTGAGACTTCGATCCACATCCCACTCTATTTATACCCGACATGAATGTGAGGTTGCTGTGGACCGTCAGACAAGGAGTGAAAAACGAGTGCCCCAAAGCGGTGCAGTGGCCTTCTTCGACGAAAGGGTCAACCAACGGAGTTCCAGTTCTGCAAAGCTACGAACGGAGCAAGGAAGCTACGATCGGGGCTCCTGGCCGTACTACTAGGAGC